AAGATTAACCTTTGGATGCTTGTCAGAAAGAGAGGGAAGAATTGCCTGTAATGCCACTGAATTGAATTGTAATCCAGGCAGTGAGTTAGAACAGAGATAACTTGCTTGTATTGGCAGGTACAAATTTCTTGTCTAGTGTTACATTGAATTTCTCCCTCAGTGTTTTCTCTATTTCTTCATCTGCAAGCATTCTGATTTCCACAAGATCCATATTGTCCCTATAATTGTACTTTATCTCTGTGAGTTTCCACCCCACCAGTGCCCGGACACCATCAGCGGTCTGCAGGCTGCAGATGGATTTGGTCACAAAGAGGGAGTCAGGTGCTGTCTGCAGGTGGGCATTGCAGCCCCTGAACTCCTCAATGTCTCGTGGCTGAAGAGTAAAGAGATAAATCCGACGGCAAACTTCATCTTCCACATTTGGGGAAGTCGAGGTGCTCGGGTTCAGAACCCACTGCTTCCTTTTCACTTTCTCCAAGTACCATATCCCATTCTCCTCCTGAAAACGAAAGACCCCAGGAGTCTGAGGCTGATCTGTCCCTGAAATCAGCTCCATTGGTTGCCACAGCTGGTAGGCCATCCCAAATCCCACATCTGCAATGTAGGATTTGCCATCAAGATCCACTCGTAGCAGCAAATGATCAATATCTTCTGGATAGCCGTCGAGCTCCGGGACAAAAACTTTTGCTCCCAGAAGAGTGACATCATAGCCAAGAGTTTTCAGGACCCAAGACAGAAGGTAGTTGTTTTCCATGCACCAGCCCCCACGATTCTTCCTCACTATCTTGTTGTATGTCGCTTCCAGGTCCAGCTCAATTCTTTCTCCACAGTGGATGCTCAGGTTTTCAAAAGGAACAGCTTGGATGTGGTGCTGGACTATATCTGACATGGTAGCCAGGTCTTGTTTATTGTGGGAGCCCTGGTAAGAAATCCTGGCAAAATACTCCTTGATGTCCATGCTGCCTCTGAGAGAAGGGTGGGAAAAAATAATAGGCTGTGTCAGAAGTGGTGGAAGGCTCTTGCCCATCCCTTATAATGGGGTGCTCAGAAAAAGAGCAGGATTTGACTAATATCTGAATCAAAGGNCCAAGGTTAGTGATAAGGAAAAAACAAGCAAGTGCTATCTGAAATGAAAACTTTGTCTTTTTTATTTTTTCTTTTTTTTTCTTCTTTTCATCCTTTCAACAGCAAGTTCTATTGCATTGTTGAGCAGTGCACTGTGCCTCTGTGGTGAGCAGGAGGCAGGAGCTCTGAGCTGTGCCCTGCAGGGGCAGCACCCGGGCAGCTCTGGGCACACACTCCAGATGATTCAGCAGAAAGAAAAGTGCCTTTCCCTGTTCCTGCCCTCCACACGCTGCATCTCAGGGCCAATGGACATAACTCCCTACTCTGATCTTAAAGGTCTGTGATTTTATAGCTCTGGACTCATTCCCCAAGCCCATGGGCCAGCACAAAGTGCAGGAAACACCCTGACACAGGGACAGAGGAGTGGGCACAGCCCTTTCTGGGTGTTTCCTATGTTTGTTCCCACAAAGGATGGAGAATCTTGGCTCTCTGTGGATTTTCTCCTGCTCCACAGTTTTGCAAGACCTGCCTGGACTTTCACCTCATCCCAATGCTTTCTCCCTGCTGTCCCACTGAGTTTAGCTCCCTTAGATCCCCCATTAATTTCAGGCCACAGAAAAAGTGAGGTCGAAACCAAGCCAGATCCTGGGACAATTTCTTCTGATCATTTGTGTTGCAAGCTCCTGGTCCACACCATAAGAAGCCTCTCCTTCTTTTACAGCTACATTTAATTTTCTCATAGGATGGGTGGGCCACATGGACTATAAGGAGCTATTGCACTCCTACGGCCAAGCATATGTAAGTGAATATGACTCTGGGAAGACAGTGGCTTCAGAAACTTGCTGTGCCTCTAAGAAATACATTATGAACATGCAGAATAGCAGCTTTTATTAAATCTGAACTGCTAGTTCTAGAAACCTGTACTGCCTACATAACAAATGAAAAATGTTCAGTGAGATATTCTCCTTTTACAAGCCATAGCTGGCAGAAATTAGCACGTACAAATAATCAGGACAACTTAGGTGATTAATGACATTTATTTTTTACTATGGGAATACATGCTGTAATTTGAGGGGGGGGGGGAAGGTCTGAATAATTCCAGTTCACAGTGCTTGATTTTTTTATTTAATTGTAATTCACTAATATAATTTGCTTAATTATAAGTGC